AAGGGTTACCGTTTGATATTTGTACCGTAGTTGTCGGACGCCAGCTGTCCCCGGAGTCGCGGATTTATCCCTCTCAGGGGTGCTCGTGCCGTCAGTCCGTGGTTTCATGTAACGTCTCCGTACCGTGTAAAATTGTATCGTTCCCGTTGACGTTTTTGTTGTATCGATACTCCGAGCGTGACGCGGAGATTTTTGATCAAGTATATCGCATACCGGAAGGCGGGATTTGAGCGAGTAATTTCTTCCGGTGTTACCGGAAGTAAGAGAACGGCTCTGCAAGAATATTGCCCTACGCGAAATCTCCGCCGAAAAGTAATTAACGTACCGCTTGTTCGAAATTTCCGTTACGCGGACGTTGTGATATTGTTAACGAAACGAAAGGTCGTGCTGCGACCGTTACATCGGGTAAACAATTTCCGTCTATCTCCTTGAAACTACCGTTAGAGAAAGCTTTTGTTTTCTATCAAGACTTTGTCGAAAGTCCTCGTTAATTGCCGTAAGAAAAGGTTCGATTCGAGTTATATCGAACTTTTATAAAATCCGTATACCGTATATTTCGGGTTAAAATTCCGTTTATTTCATAATTATCTATTGTTCTTTACCGTTAATTGTCGTTGAGCGTAGAAGTTACCGTCATTGTATGAAAATTCAGGTTCGATTTATATCGATATTGAGCACGAGGCTCGCGCCTCCAGAAGTGTTCGTAAACCATCCGCGTATCATCATCTGTTCGTAAAATCCCTGTACACTCTGGTTACCGCTAATTACGTGGGTTACCGCCAATAAACTGGTTGAGAATTATACCGAAATTTGTTAGCGCGACGAACGTCTCGGCGTACGAGCCGAAATCAGCCGTAATTCGTTCTCGAGTCTGGGAGAGACTCCGCCGCTAATGTTCACGGCCTCCGATTACCGTCATTATTGAAAGGCTAAAACTATTCTAATACCGTTTTTTTTTCCTTGTCTTCTTGTATTTCCGACTCGAAGTCAGTATTTCAAGTAACCTCTCTGAGATTATTGTATCTGACCTTCGCATCAGTCGTTATAATGTGTCCATTGTTTCCGCGGTTTATAAGATAACCGTTATATTTCAAAATTTATCTGCTTTCTTGTATTATTTTATCGTGTACCTCGCGTTCTTGTATATTCACCGGTATATTTACCGAGTTTATCGCTATTATATTGAATTTATCGCTCTGATATTGAAGTTACCGTTATTATATTAAATTTTATCGCTATTATATTCAATTTACCGTTATTATATTAAATTTACCGTTATTATATCAAACTTATCTGTATTATATTAAAGTTATCCATCTTATAGCGAAACCGATTATACGATTCATTGTGTGTATTCTAACATTTCAATATATGTAATTAATTGTGACCAAATAACTGAGTAGTCATTTCTCTCTCCTAACGATATTCTAGCGCTCTCTGTCCCGTACGATAAATACTTCGCAAAGAACTCTGCCCCTCTGCCATAAACTGAGCTTGCCGTTACCGTTTCGATATCGTGGCGCGGAAATACCGCGCCTGGCGCCCATATTCTATCTCCTTTTTGTTGGAGGGTCTGTTACCGTATTTTACCGCCATTTTAAGATACCGTACCGCCATTTTGAGATCCCGATACCGCCAATTACCGACACCGCCAAATTTGCACGCCACCTCCTCGGGAGCGGCGTTCCCGAGGCGGGCGACGGCGTCGCAATATATATATATATATATATATATATATATATATATATATATATATTATACAAATATATTATAATTATTTAAATATTATTCTTTATAATATGTTTATAATATGTATGTGTATACATATATATACAGGGTGACCCATTTTAACATAGGCAGTCAAATAACTCGAAAAATAAGCACACTACGAAAAAATGGTTAGAATCAAAATTTCGTCATTTCGAGGGGGACGTACAATGACGTTAAAATCAGCCCCCCCATCCCTCCCCCTGGGCAGTGAGGGGGGGCAAGTTTGAAATCTTAAATGGAACCCCCTATTTTTCATTGCATATTCTTGTAGCTTATCTCGAGAGCTTTCCAAAACACTATAATTAAGTACCTTTTTATTAAGTACTTTTTGAGTTATAAGGCTTGAAATAATTTCTTAATTTTACATAAACCATAAAATATCTAGTAAATCATTCATTTTTCGATTATCTTACCTTCATACTTTTATGTACAAAATAATGAGAGGAATCAATTGGTGTAAAGAAAACACATAGTTGTTTCTAAGAAAAAATATGTAATTTGCAATTAACAATTCCATATTTTTTCTTAAAAACAACTGTATGTTTTCTTTACACCAATTGATTCCTCTCATTATTTTGTACATAAAAGTATGAAGGTAAGATAATCGAAAAATGAATGGTTTACTAGATATTTTATGGTTTATGTAAAATTAAGAAATTATTTTAAGCCTTATAACTCAAAAAGTACTTAATAAAAAGGTACTTAATTATAGTGTTTTGGAAAGCTCTCGAGATAAGCTACAAGAATATGCAATGAAAAATAGGGGGTTCCATTTAAGATTTCAAACTTGCCCCCCTTCACCGCCCAGGGGGAGGGGTGGGGGGGCTGATTTTAACGCCATTGTACGTCCCCCTCGAAATGACGAAATTTTGACTCTAACCATTTTTTCGTAGTGTGCTTATTTTTCGAGTTATTTGGCTGCCTAAGTTAAAATGGGTCACCCTGTATACAGATACATATTCTAAACACATTATACAATAAAAATGCTGTAAAAGAAACATTGAGCGCATATCGAAATATCGAGGAGCGTGACGCGTCGCGTGTTGCCCGTCTTTCGATAGGAAGGAGACAGAAGACTGTATTCTGTCCTCTTCTTCTATCCGAAGTTAGCCGAAGCGCCGAGCTCACACGTATGCTTACGCTAACATCCTCATTACCCCCTCCACGCCGTGTTGCATGTTGCTTGCGGCGGAGATCTGGCAGTTTTGGTGCTGCCTCCGACGAGTGTTCTCGTTCGCACGGCGGAATCCCGCGACATCCATCCCCCGCGAAAAAGTTTAGAAAACGATTAATTTAAATCAAAGCGAAATCCGAACATCTCAAATATAGACCGTTATACAAGCCGAGATACGCGCCGCGACTCGCGAGGGCATTGTCCTCAATCAAAATAACAACACAGCTGACGCGCTGGTATATACGACGGGCTTTAAACGCATTCCGATTCCCGAACTTTGCGATATATTGACGATACCGAATTACCGCATTATATATAAACGATATCGTTCTACCGAATTATACTAACGATACCGAAGTACCGCATAAACGCTACCGAACTACCGCTTTTATATAAACGATACCGAGCTACCGATTGTACCCCGGATACCGTTGCCCTCGATTGATTCTCACGCGCAAAACTCATACCGAAAGTCACGCTGCACACGTTCTCGCATTTGCGTACACAGGCTCTCGCATTTATACACACGTATTCTCGCACTTATAAATACACGTTCTCACATTTATACACACATTCTGGCAGTTATACACACACGCTCCTGAATTTATTCATTTATATTGCGCCCACATCTTTGTATTCTTTTCTTTTTTTTTTAATAAAGACATTTTCTTTTTTTCTCTGAACACCGCGCCTGATCATTTAGCTTGCCTATCCGAAATCGCGAATCCTGATCCCGACTGCGTCTATCCGATACCGTTTTCACGGAAGTCGTCCGTGACATTGGCGCCCGAACAAAAATTTCAATAGAGGCAAGACGCGATAAGAAGGATGAAAGCGTGGGTGTATAAACTTAATAGAGAACAGTTAGCCGCATTAGCAAACTCATTCGAACTAGACGATACAGGATTTCTGGAGGAGTTACGTAAACGTCTACACCGATTCGCGGACGCTCACCCCGAGAAATTCGAGGGAATGGGAAAGGAGGCAAGTACATTGCCCCGACTAACGGTGACATCACCGGGAAACATGGATTTTCGCACCCTCACTGCGGTCGAACCAGATTTTTTCGAAGGAAGGGCGATTAATCAAATCCGGAAGTGGGGATGTCACTTCGACGGAAAAGACCCAGCCGCGTTCTTAGAACGGGTGGAGGAACTGAGAGGGGCGTACGGCCTTTCACGAACTCAGTTACTACAGGGCCTACCAGAACTACTAAGGGGGGACACGTTATTATGATTCCGTAATTATCGAGAAACGTGGGGACACTGGGAAGAATTCGAGCGCGATTTCCGGCAGCAGTATTTACCGCGCCGATATGCAGCCACCCTACGCCGCGAATTCATGGGTCGACACCAAAGATCGACCGAGAAATTTGTACCGTACGTCACGGTAATGATGACGCTGATGCGCCGGGCCGGAGGATACTCACGGGAGGAGCAACTCGATCTCGTATACGAAAATATGCACCCGGCTTACAAACACTATATAAGGATAGACGACATAAGGAACATGGCCGAATTACAGGCAAGGGCAACAGAATATGAAGACATAGTACAGGAACAGGAGGCGTTAAAACGAGAAAAGCCAGCAGCATCCGCCGTAGTGACCGCGTACAATATGAGAGAATGTTGTTGGCGGTGCAAACAGAGGGGACACACAAGAGCACAGTGCCAAAGACCGGCAAAAAAATTCTGCTCATGGTGTGTGGTCGCGATGGAGTTCTAACCAGGGAATGCCACCCGCGGCAGGGAAACGCCAATGGGGCCGAGGCAACTACGCCCGCGAAAACCTCGATCGCCTCATAAGATTCATACCGCGACCACACACAAAAATTAAGATCCAGAACAGAGAATACGAGGCATTAATAGACGGCGGCTAGGAAATATCATTAATAAACCAGGACACGGCACGGGAATTAGCTGAGGTAGGATTTAAAATCGAGGAAGGCGGGGGACTAATTCAACTGGCCGACGGATCGGAGGGAGAAACCGGCGGGAGTATAAACCTGCGTCTATGGAACAGGACCACAAAGCACGAGTTTTTCATCCTACCAAATATGGAGGACGAGATATTGATAGGGATAGACCTCCAAGCGAAACTACAGATAGGAGTCCCACCACCACCGAAGAAAATAATTCGGAAAATCTTGAGATGTAATGCAGCCAGGGGGCTAGCAGTACAAACAGCTAGAGAGAAGGAGGAACTACAACAATTTCTGGAAAAGGAGCTGAAATTGTTCAAGGAAGTTCACGGGGCAACGAACAAAGTGGAACATGATATACGGCTCCGCAATACAACGCCGTTAAAACAAAGATACCGACCCCGTAATCCGGCCATGCAGGCCATCATCAACGAAGAAGTAGGAAAAATGCTGGCAGACGATATTATTGAACCATCGCATAGCCCATGGAGCTCGCCCATAGTACTCGTCAAGAAAAAAGATGGAAAGCATCGATTCTGCATCGATTTTCGGAAAGTCAATGACGCTATGCACAAAGATGCGTACCCGCTACCGCAGATTCCCGCAACATTAGACAAATTAAGAGGAGCCAGGTATTTGTCCACGCTGGACTTAAAAAATGGCTATTGGCAAGTTCCCCTTACACCGGACAGCAGACCGATCACGGCATTCACAGTCCCCGGAATGGGACTATTTCAATTCAAGGTAATGCCATTCGGATTACATTCGGCACCCGCCACGTTTCAACGGTTATTAGACAAAGTACTCGGGCCGAATTTGGAACCGCATGTTTTCGTATATCTCGACGACATTATCGTCATCAGCGAAACATTTAACGAACACCTCGAGTTGCTCACCGAAACGTTCCGCCGCCTTCGAGAAGCGCGACTCAAACTGAACCCTGACAAATGCAAATTTTGTGTCGATCAATTGCGCTACTTGTGGGACACATTGTCGATCGCTACTTGTGGGACACATTGTCGACCGCGAGGGAATAAGAACCGATTCGGAAAAAGTCAGTGCCGTGGCAAACTGGCCGGAACCGCGAACTGTCAAACAAATCCGCCAGTTCATAGGGATGGCCTCCTGGTATAGGCATTTCATCGCGAACTTCTCCACGATCACTGCCCCACTCACAGCGCTCACGAGGAAAAATGCACGATGGGTCTGGGGCCCGGAACAAAGCAAGGCATTCAGTACAATAAAAAATAGATTAAATTCCGCACCAGTATTAACCTGTCCAGATTTCTCACAACGTTTTTACCTGCAAACCGACGCCAGTACATCGGGATTAGGCGCGGTACTGACGCAACAATATGAAGAAGGCGAACGAGTCGTGGCGTACGCAAGTCGTACTTTAAACATCGCAGAGAAAAACTATAGCGCCACGGAGCTCGAATGCTTGGCCGTCGTGTGGGGGATTCGACGAATGAAAAATTATTTAGAAGGATACGCCTTCACTGTAATCACGGATCATCAAGCCTAAAAATGGCTGCAGAAGCTAGAATCCCCGACCGGACAACTAGGGCGCTGGGTATTCGAGCTCCAGCAATATAACTTTGACGTCAAATATCGAAAGGGCGTTCTTAATAAAGTAGCGGACGCGCTATCACGCCCCGACCGTCAGCACCGCAAAGAAAGCAAACCGCTGCCAATGGTACGACCGCATCCGAGAGGAAACGCTACGAGAACCCGGGAAGAGACCAGAGTACAAAATCAAGGAGGGAAAACTGTACCGACACATTTTACACTCGCTAGATTTCAAGGAAAGGAGTAGCGACGAACAATGGAAAATCTGCATCCCAACGCCAGTGCGAAAGGCGGTAATACACCAGTATCACGACGAGCCCACGGCCGGACATCTCGGGATCGCGAAGACCATCGCCCGAATCGCCGAGAGGCACTATTGGCCGGGCATGTTTAGAGACATCGCTAAATACGTTCGACGATGTGAAACATGCCAAAGCTTCAAAGCAGCACAACAAAGGCCGGCGGGAAAGCTACACGCCATGGAAGTAAAGAGACCATGGGAACAAGTCAGCATCGATCTCATTGGACCATTACCGCGATCAAAAAAAGGGCATACATGGCTACTCGTCATGCAAGACCGTTTCTCAAAATGGGTGGAACTCACGTCGCTGAGAAAAGCGACCGCCGACGCGGTGACTCAGGCAGTAACAAATAATATCATTCTAAGGCACGGCAGACCAGAAATTATCTTATCTGACAACGGAACCCAGTTGCGTTCAAAACAATTAGAAAACCGGCTAAAGGAGTGCAACATCCGCCACGTCATCACGTCCGCATATGCTCCACACTGTAACCCGGTAGAGAGAACAAACAGGACAATCAAGACAATGGTGGCACAATTCGCCGGAGCAGATCAAAAAACATACGGGACGAGAAACTGCCGGCCTTACCTGAAAGTGGAGAGCATATTGTCCAGCGTCCCGAGTGACGCACATAACACATATATAAATAAAATAAAAAAAAAATTATGACAGCCCAAAGTCTCGAACCTGGGATCCCGGGATTACTAGTCTTGCGCTCTGCCGCTGGACTAGCGGCAGCGATCGAAAGTGTGTCTTTTTTTAGGCCTGATAACGAACCTGGCAATTTTTCTACACTTCGAGAAAAAAAAATTTTTTTACAAGGCGGATTGGACGAAAAGCTCGAACACGGATCAACTTTTTTTCGACGTAGATTCACCACACCAAAAGAGATCAAAATCGGTGATGAGTCAACCGCGACCTCCCCTTGTAAGTATACCTTCAACACTTATATTTTAACTTAATTATAGGTTTACAATAAGATATTCACAATAATTCACAATAAGAAATTCCTTTATATTTACTTTTTTTGATTGAGTCATTGTTGCTCTGTTTAGATTATTTTCCTTTGAAGATGTACTTGGTACTAGGCTATCTGTATTACTATCTGTGCTTGGTATCTCTGCACTATCTATATTACCATTATTGGTATTAAATATCTCAAAATCATCAAAATTATCTCTGTTTGCTATTGAATTGTCTATATTGCTATTTCTGTTAGCATTTCCATAAGTCTGCAAGAAATATTTAATAAATAAACGACACAATCTAATTATATTAATATAAGAAATAATGCTTATTTTATTATTATAACTAATTAAAGATATTATTTACTATATATTATTGATAAAAACTATTAATTTATATTTATATCATTATAAATTAACATCATAAAATTAATATTTACATTAATAATAAAAAAATTAATATTTATGTACTTACAAAGATATATTTTTCCTTTGATTTTCTCTTATAATTAACCCTTCACTACCACACACAGCCAATGGCTCTATATTATGTTTCGACCCTAGCAATTCAGTCAATTCTCTATAATAATGATATACAATTTTATTATGCATATTACCTTTGTACATTTTATACTTTTTAGAATCAATTTGTATATATATATATATATATATATATATATTTATATTTATATTTATATATACATATATATATATTTATGTAAATATTTATGTAAATACTTACGTTTCAAAGGTACATGACATACGACCTCTCCCTGTTTTTTTATTATTTAATTTCATATTCTTATATGATCGTTCAAGTGATTTGTATTTATTTTCTACTTGTAATGAGGTTGTGTTATATCCGTTCTTTTGCATTTCCAATGCTATTTTGTTCCACATCATCTTTTTCGTTTCAATTTTTCTACTTCGTAACAATTCGTTGCAATTTTTGTATAAACTAAGAAATAATTTAGTGCTTGAGTCACTCCAAGCAAATACATCTTGTGTAGCTTGTTCATGTGTAGCTTCGTTTTCCTTATTTAATATTATATTATTATGCAATGGTATAAAAATAGTTTTGTCATCTACACATAATTTTAAATTTTCGCAATTAAAATCTATTTCATCATAATTGAGTTCATATTCTATGCCACCTGTAAATATATTATATATTTCAATATTTTTTTTTGTTGTTTAAACATTTCTTAATTTTTAGATGAATTTTTTATACCTTCAGTAACACAGTAACAGTTCCATTGTTGTTAATGATGATGTTGCCATCCGAATCTTTTTTTAAAAACGCTAATTCCATATTTTCTTTTATAATAATTATTACCTTGAATAATTATGACTTTTTTCTAAACTTTCGATGGCGTATTTTTAGTTATGTTTACAAATCACTCTGCACTGAACAGACGGCACTACCTCACGACCAGTGCAGGCAGTACAATGAACTGCACTACACGCTATTACCCTTCGAAAACGAACAACATATCTGACGTCATTTTCGGAAAATCGAACGCTTCGGTGTACACTCTTTGCACTAGTGTACACTAGTTCAGAAAGTTCTTCGAAAACGAACAAACTTAATAATAGACCTCGCTTCGCACTCATCTTCGCAACTCATGGATAGTATATATATGGTGCCTACCAAAGTTCTGGGACGGATATTTTATAAACTATACACTTTAGAAAGAAACTTTCCAATGAAAGTTGTATCGCTTGAAGGGGGCCATAAGATGATGTCATTGGTTTGATCTTGAAAAGTCATTTGAAGGTTACGTGAAGATCACCTTCAATTTTTTAAACGGAATTACCTATTTTTTATTGCATATTCGTGTAGCTTATCTCAAGAGCTTTCCAAAACACTTTAATAAAGTATTTTTTTTATTGAGTACTTTTCGAGTTATAAAGCTTGAAATAATTTCTTAATTTTACATAAACCATAAATTATCGAGTAAAATATTCATTTTTCGATTATCTTACCTTAATACTTTTAAGTACAAAATAATGAAAGGAATCTGTTCAGGATTCGCCCTGAATTTCGAGCGAAAATATCACCCCCGGTAATACTAGCGCCATCCGTGCGCGCCAAAGCGAACTCACGAAATAATTCCGTACGGTATATTTTCAAAATCAGCCAGGATCCGCGTGATCGTGGAATAATACATGATCCTGGCCAATTAAGTAATCGGAAAATCACGCGATTCGACGTGCCTGAACCGGATAGGCTCAAATCGGATCATCCGATGCGCCATAAAATCCTTATTATCCGGGAGAAAGGCTCTCTCTCAAGCAGTCTTCGTCTAGTTCATATCCGAGCGATTACGAGTCATTGCGAGCGTCAGAGAGAGTTCTAACAAATTTTTACAAAGGTCATTGTCGGATTATCGAGCAGCGAGAATCGAAAGTTGCAAGCGCGTTTGAAACAGTGGAACGCGCAAATCGCGATTATATTTGATAGACGAATTTCTGTAACAGATATCGCGACGGATCAACGGACAGTTCAGTGAACGATAATCGATTCCGTTCAACACGTGAACGTTCCGAGCGCGAGTGGAATTCGTTTAAGCGTCTTCACTCTAAGTCAAAGGTGGAGCCTGTCTCTCATTGAGCCTCCGCTCATTCGTCGAACATTGGAAAGTGCGGTCTCGCTCGCTCTCACAGACAGCCCGATAGAGTGCTGTCTCTTTCTATCTCGCGCGTGCAGCCGTGGAAAGTGCGGCCTCGCTCGCCCTCACAGACAGCCCGATAGAGCGCTGTCTCTCTCTATCTCGCGCGTGCAGCCGTGGAAAGTGCGGTCTCGCTCGCTCTCACGCGAACCGTGAATAGTGCGGTCTCGCTCGTTCTCGCGAACAGCTGAAAAAGTGCCGTCTCGCTCGTTCTCACAGGCAGCCCGATGGAGCGCTGTTTCTCTCAGTTTTGCGTCGAACCGTGAATAGTGCGGTCTCGCTTGCAATCACGCGGACGGCTAAAAGAGTGCCGTCTCGCTCACTCTTACAGACAGCCCGATAGAGCGCTGTCTCTCTCCGTTTCGTGCGTGCACCCGTGAATAGTGCGGTTTCGCTCTATCACGCGGACGGCTGAAAGAACGCCGTCTCGCTCACTCTTACAGACAGTCCGATAGAGCGTTGTCTCTCTCTGTTTCACGTCGAACCGTGGAAAGTGCGGTCTCACTCGCTCTTGCGAACGGCCGATAGAACGCCGTCTCGCTCTCTCTCGCAGACAGCCGTTGAAACGCTGTCTCTCTCAATCTCGTACGTGCAACCGCGAATCGTGCTGTCTCGCTCGCTCACGCGGACAGCTGATAGAGCGCTGTCTCGCTCGCTCTCACGCGAACAGCTGATAACGCGTTGTATCGTTTTTATCAAGTAAACCAATGTATAGTGCGATCTCACCGATCGAGCGCGAATCTCGACGTGCTCATAGATCCGAACTAGCGTCGCATACGCAGCGAAAGTTCATAAACTCCGTACATATCGTGTATTTTACGCAATAAACTTATCACCACTTTTGTGTGGCTGTCACTGTGTTACCATCAAAGGAACAAATTTACGTTATTGCATCCCGTCACTCATCCAGTGCGAAATCACGTTAATTGCAAACTCGCGATACCCTCTCGGGTGTGTTCCAGCAAAACAAAATCGCAACTCACAGGTGCGATCCCGAATAGAATCAATTGGTATAAAGAAAACATATAGTTATTTTTAAGAAAAAATATGAAATTGTTAATTGCAAATTACATATTTTTTTTTAAACAACTATTTTTTCTTTACACCAATTGATTTTTCTCATTATTTTGTATATAAAAGTATTAAGGTAAGATAATAAAAAAATGAATGTTTTACTAGATATTTTATGGTTTATGTGAAATTAAGAAATTATTTCAAGCCTCATAACTCGAAAAGTACTTAATGAAGAAATACTTTATTATATTGTTTTGGAAAGCTCTCGACATAAGCTATAACAATGTGCAATAAAAAATGAGGGGTTCCATTTAAAAAAATGGAGATGACCTTGAAATCTCTGAAGCGCCTCCACTTACAAAAAAAATATTAGTAGCATATTACGGCCTTCTTGGTACCGTATAACTTTTATAAGTACAAAATTGTTGTATTTCTAAAAATAACGGAGATATTCCAGGTGCACAGAGTTATTGGTCCACCCTGTATATATATATATATATATATATATATATATATATATATATATATACATAGGGTTTTACAGACAATCCGTATTAGCCGAATATCTCAAAGACTGAGCGCGGCAGACAAAAATATTTCACACAAAAGTTGCAAGGTTTCAAATAACGCATTACATGGTAATATCAGTATAATCTTGAAGAGTGTTGTCAAGCTCACGTAAAGGTCACCTTGAATTCTGTAAATGGAAACCCCAATTTTTTATTGCATATTCTTGTAGCATATTCTTGTCTTATCTCGAGAGCTTTCCAAAGCACTATAATAATGTTACTGTGCGTTAAGTATTTTTCGAGTTATAATTATACTTGAATAATTATACTTGAAAGTTACGATGTTGACGGCTTCTGTTTTTACAAGTAAGTACACCGCGCTAAGATTGCACGGTCAGGGTTTGATTCTATTTTATGTTGTCTTTGTGTGTGTATGTGTGCGCGCGCGCGCTCGCGAGTGTGTGAATATTGCATCCATAGAATGATGATACCTAAAATCCGGATATGATTCGGCCAGTCAAGGCAAGATCAAAGTGGTATCCAGTCAGTCAAGGCAAGATCAAAGTGGTATCCAGCCAGTGAATGCATGATTCGGGTGTGATCCAGCCAGTCAAGGAATGTATGGCTACATGTGATTAGGCCTGATGTTCGAAATGTTCACTATTTGTTTCAATACAAGCGAGTACTCTTTTCTGAAAATTATTTGTTGCATGAAGAAAGGCATTTCATTAGCATCTAGAAGACGAATAACGTCGCGTATTCTACGAATCATATTATCTCTTTTCATAGGGCAGTCGGGGTATACCAGATCTTTTACTCTTCCCCACAAATAGTAATTCAGAACACTAAGGTTTGGTGATTGTGCTGGTCAATGATGTAGGCCATACTTGCCTATTCATTTATCTGGAAACATATCGTTCAATCATTCACGAGCAACTCTAGATGTATGCGTTGGATATCCATCTTGCTGAAAAAAACATGTTTAGGCGCAATTGTAAGGGAATATTTTCAAGTAAGGGCGGAAGATCACTTTCAATGAAGTTAGCATACCGAATACCGTTTAGGTCCTCTTCAAAAAAAAATGGCCCAACGACATCTTTTTCAAAAATTCCGCACCAAACATTGACTTTCCAAACATGTGATGGTCAATTTCTCAGAATCAATGAGGATTTTCTGATGCCCAATAACGACAGTTCCGTATTTACAGATCCGTTATTTTTAAATGTGCTTTCATCAAAAAATAACATTTTCTTATAAAAGGTTTACGGCTGTTGACATATCCAATTGCAAAATTCAAGTCTGTGCCTAAAATCGGTAATCAAGGTTTGGTGAAGAGTCATTCTGTATGGATACCACTTGTGTTCATGAAAAGTCCACCGGATCGTGTCACGACTAATACCAGAATCTCTTTCTGGTACGCCTTAGTGAATCGTGAGGATGCAATTGAGCTGATGCAATTGAGCTGATGCGTCCTTTCGTTTTACTGGGCGTCGAATTCGTCTACTTTTATTATGATCCGATTGAATAATAGCTCTGTTGGTAATTCGTTTAGCTAAGCGAGAAAAAACATTGTATGAGTGAGGAGCACGATATGGATATCGTTCTCATCACAACCTTGCAGCTGCCCTAAATTGATGATCACATCGCCTAAAATAAACATCATATCCAATGCTTCTGCGTTTGAATATGACATAGTTGGTTCAGAATTTCATGACGTATGGATGTAATGCTAGAAGTGATCTAGCGTTGTGTTCGCAATATTCAACATATGAAAAAAGTGAGTACGTGAGTTTGTGCGTTTTTGGTGTGTGTAGATGTCAAGGTATGTAAAAGTATTGATGTGAACGTGGATGTGTGATAAATAATTAGGGAACAAATAAAGACTAGTTATCCTTTCTCCTTTTAATGAATAAAAACTTTCTACTCCGTGTGGACCGTACAAACTCAGCGCGGTGTACCTACTTGTAAATGCTGATGCTGTCAACATCGTAACTTTCAAGCGTTATAACTCGAAAAATACTTAACGCACAGTAACATTATTATAGTGCTTTGGAAAGCTCTCGAGATAAGCTATAAGAATATGCAATAAAAAATTGGGATTTCGATTTACAGAATTCAAGGTGACCTTTACGTGATCTTGACAACACTCTTCAAGGTCATATTGATATTACTATGTAATGCGTTACTTGAAACCTTACAACATTTGTGTGAAATATGTTTGTCTGCCGCGCTCAGTTTTTGAGATATTCGGCTGATACGGGTGATCTTCAACACCCTGTATACAGGGTGTTTCTAAAACTATGTCGGAGATTTTAAGGACGTATTCTAGGGGTTAAAATAAGAAAAAGTTCATATAAACATGGGTCCAAAAATGCTTTTTTTCCGAGTTATAGCCCTCTAAAATTGAGGGGAAAAAATGGTCAAAACCACATAAAAATGAAACTCATTATTAATTATTACGCTGTGCAAAACTTTAACATTCTATGAAAAAGTCTCCGAAAGTTACAATACATTTTTCGATTTTTTCTCTCAACTTTAGGGGGCTATAACTCGGAGGAAAAGCATTTTTGGACTCATATTTATATGAGCTTTTTTTCTTATTTTAATGCTTAGAATACGTCCTTAAATTCTCCGACATAGTTTTAGAAATACCCTGTATATATTGTGACGTTGCCGTCACGACGGACGTCCACCCTCCAAAAAGACCGCGTGACGCGAGCCGAGCGGGCACGTCGATCGGGAAATCGATAGCCCCGCCGGGATTTCCAGAAAGGCGAGCGCGTTCGTTTGTAATCAAAAGTATTATTATTAATCATATTTGTCGAAATTATATTGTTTCGGATGCCATAAATCATCGCCGACAATAACGAAGAATAACCAGGAAGCTGGCAAGAAAAGCAACATCGCCGAATCATCACCGATCAAAACATCGGCCGAGGAAAACAAGGATCGGCGATACTCGCTCAGCCTCGCACGACTTCGGTCCATCGGCCCAGCATCCCAGGGCCGGCCGGCTACGACAGGCGCAGAAAACACCCCGCGATGAGTCTAGGCCTCGTCTGAAGAAATCCGGAAATTCACTATCCTCCACTGGAGAGGGACGGAGGCAGCAAATATCGGCCCCGACGGGAGAATTCCCGACCACCTTGCGTTGAAAACACGCGCAGGAACAGCGGACCGTCGAAGGCGCGGGACCGCGGGCGCGCGATGCGCCCTTGCACCGCGCTCGAAAATCCGAGCGCGCTAGGATGGGCCTAGCACCCCTCTCAGTAGTGATATAGGGCGAGTTCTAACTCAGGTCCTCTCAGGGGGGGTGAGGCGCACGGGGGATTACGATGGCGCGGGGGAATGACATCACGCGGGATGGAGGGGATTTCGGAGGCGGCGCGTGTTAGATGATTATCGCAATATTATATTACATATCCGGTTGATAAAATATTTATAAACAATATAAACAGCAGCATTTCTTTGAATGGCAACGCGTGCGAGAGAGAGGGAGCGATGGCGCGAAGACAACGTGTACAAAGAAAGAGAAAGAGATAGACTTAAGATTAACGTATGGGAGATAACGATACTTACAACTAGCGCAGGGATGGGAACGCAAGGAGAGGCATGCAAAATAAGTAGATTTTTTTTTAAATTAAAATATATGTAAAATTTATTTTAAAATGTGTGTGTGTGTGTATTATACATATTGTGTGTGTGTGTGTGTGTGTGTGTGCTTAAAATTGAAATAAAATATAAAATATAAAAATATAAAAATATGAAAATATAAAAATATAAAAATATCTAATTAAAATAAAAAATATAAAATAATGGGGGGGATGACCGCTTCTGTAACAGAAAAAGGATATTAGGTTAATATAAGCACAGTTAGAGTTAAGATTTATAAAAAATACTTACATATATCCACATTATGTACACCATTATGTACTCCATTTTGCATAACATTAGGTACCCAAATTTCTCCGGGCACCCAAATCTCCTCCTCTATGTAGGGTTCTTCTCCGAAGAGCCGCCGCAGCTCGAAGATATCTTCCTTGTCCTGGGGACTCTCCGGGGCGTCGCCCCACATATAGGAGAGATTGTATTTTCTCCACCGCCGCTCCATCCGCACCCTCTGGCGGTATTGTATATTCATAAAACCCGGGACTTCAACGTCAGTCTCGACCTGTATAAAAAATATAATTAATATAGATGCATATTTTTTTTGTTTTATAAAATATTCACAAATGTAACACTTACTTCCCAATGGAAGGCCAGCTTCATTAGTAACACGCACAATAAATCTGAAAATCTCCTCTTCCACTCAATACAATTTTCGAAAATGTGCTCCATTTTTCTTCTTAACTTTCGACTTTACTTCTCAACTCGATTACTCTCGGAGACTTTCTGATGCGGCAGCGAGATCTCGGTACGAGATCGTATAATAGAGATGCGGCATTATTGCCATATCACCGTAAACACCTCGTAAACGCTTCGTAAACGCTTCGTAAACGCCTCGTAAAAAATACGCGCGGTCCCATATATTTATCGAAAGTATAAGCAATATTGTATTGCATGCCCGGTTGATAAACAATATAAACAAATAGTACCTCAGAATCATCTTTCACGATTTTTTTCTCGGAAGAATTTTTAACGTATCAGCGCCGATGTTCGGCTGCTTCGTTTCCTTGCTTTCGCGGTACACCCCTCACCCCCGATATAAGTAACTCTATATTTTTTTCGTTCGACGTATCCATATCTCTTTCTTTCCTAGTGTTTGCTCTCTCTCATGATAACTCTCTCGCGAGGAGCTATGCATGAAAGCTGGGATAGGCAAACGCAAAGAAAGTACACCATGATATAGTAAACTTAAAACTCTTTATTCATGTTTTTACATATTTTTTTCGTCTTACATATTATATGAACTAAAAGCTAAAGCCGCCAGCTCGCAATCGACGAGTTGATGCTTTTTGAAAGCGTCACTCGCGCGTATTACATTCGATACTTCTTTAGGATCCGTTACAGCGGACGCAATATTGGAGAATTGCGTAAATTTGACATCGACTGTTTGGATAATTTTATCTAATCGATCAAAAGTTACATCTATGCAACCATCGAGATCGAACATACGGTGTAACGTCGATTCGCCCATCATCATGCATACGTTCGAAGATTCGAGACATATGAGTTTAGCGTTATTAATCGTACGAACTCCCACTGTTAGCGGTCCAACGCTTATAAAATTATAGATGTCGTGAGAGTCGTTCCGAAGAAGATTTAGAATATCGCGACGTTGCTCGCAGAGTCCCTTCCACGTTTCGAGAGATAATATCCCTTTCCCCGATGATCTCCTATGACAATCTCCACGTATCTTGGCGGACCCACGTTGATACCGATTTCGAGGAATTTGAATTCCGTAGCTGTCAATGTGTATCGTCTGCCTAATATACGAACCGCACGACGCTCCGACGAAATGCTACGGGAAAAATTAAAATTAAGTAATACTAATAATACAATTTGTAAAAATAGAAAAATAGAAAAATAGAAAAAAATGTTAAACGAAACTTACTCGTCACATTTGTTCTCAAACGATGGAGTTTTATCACGATTCGGCACGTAATTATTCACGTGTCTTCCGATGCCGCTGTTACTGCTGCTTCTTTCAACGTAGTACATTTTTCTGGGAGGTTATGAAAAGTGAATCCACGAGCGGTTAACGCGACACTGATCGTACAGGAATTAATCGATTATACCCGATGTTCATCTATCAAAAGTATAATGTAGTGGTGGGGGATCAATGCTTCTACGTATAACGAATTTAGGAGAAGGGGGAGGCGGTTCTCGAACAAAAGAATTCTTAGAAACGCAAGCAAAGGATTAGGGTGGGGGAAATAAAAGATAACGCATATTAATGTTTACATATTTTATTTTTCTCGCAATTCTTTCTGGCGTCGCGACCACCAGTTAAATATTTTGAATACATTTTGTAATGCGCAATTCTTAACATGCTTTCCACATCGCATACTATTCGTATCATCTAATTTATTTAGAGCATCGATATCTTTGTAATCCGCATCCAAGGTTTCAATAATATAGCCGTTCCCCGCATCGTCTAGTATATCGGCCAGCCATTTTCGCTTTTCAAGTCCTTTGACGTACACGACAGACGATTCTTCTTCTTCTTCGTGTATCGTACCAACGACAGCTGTTGTAATCGCACGCTTAGCCAAGCCATACGGAACGTTTCCGTCTTCCCATTATAATCCGTGATGATTTCTAATCAACCATGAGACTTGACATCGCTCAGATTTTGTAAGCACGCTCCACGGTACGGGACTTGCGAAAAAGTAATGCGATAGAACATATCCCTTTCTCAAGATTGCCGCTTCCTTCACGAAGAATAGTTTCCCGATAGTAAATCCTTGCAGATCCACAAACGTTGGTACGGACATGACGAGATCTCTCTCTCTTCGATACGCCA